TCCAGGACGATGGCCTCTGCTATAGCACTGCGGAGGCATTCTTCGCTCCGCAATACGACTCTCCCTTTGGATACCAGGTCTTATGTTGAAGATCTTCTGTTTGACGGCCTTGGCCTCTTCAACACCACTACTGATTCCACACTCCAAGAATTAGACAAGAGCATAAAGGCTTCTCGAGCTCTAGGAGTGTCACCCTCTGCGAGACAACAATACCATCCCCGTACCTTGTCAAGGTCTTGGCAGAGGCGTGCACCAAGTCGTCAGTCTCCAGACAGACAATGGAGACTGCATACGTCTTTGGGAGGTCAAAAACCTCCCTACCAAAAACCGAGGTTTGGATCTGGGCAACAATCTTCCCGTACCAAACAGGTCAAACCCTCCAAGCAGAGCTTTTGACTTCCCTGTCACCGAGTCAGTTCAAACCGGTCTGTCACCCTTCCTTCATACGTGGCATCACATCAACTCGGACGAATGGGTGCTGTCCATCTTGACCCAAGGCTACCGTATCCAATTCCACCAGAACCCCATTATTTCTGTGGTCATCTCCACACCCCCTTCCCCACCTCTCCTGGAAGAGGTGTCCGTCCTTCTGCAGAAGGGAGCCATCGAGCAGGTACCACCACACCTCCACGGGACGGGATTTTATTCCTGATACTTCAGAGTCCCGAAGAGAGATGGAGGCGTTCAACCCATTTTAGATCTAAGGGCACTGAACTGTTTTGTAACCTACCATCGCTTCCGCATGGTGTCCTTACAGCAGATTATGCCACTCCTACGGAAACACATCTGGATGGCCACCCTCGACCTCCAAGATGTGTACTTCCACCTCACCATCCACCCCTCCCACCGCCAATACCTATGCTTCATGATTGGTCAACAGCATTACCAGTATGCAGCCCTGCCATTCGGCCTGTCCAGCTCCCCAAGAGTCTTCACAAAGACTATGATTGTGGTTGCAGCTTTCCTTCATCCCCGGGGTATCTCCATCTACCCCTATATCGACGATTGGCTTTTGGTAGCGCCTTCCCAGAATGCCCTGGTCTCAAACATCACCAAGACACTGGCACTATTAAAAAATCTGGGCCTACAAGTCAATTCGAGAAAAGTCTCAATTGAGTCCAGTCCAAAGAATAAAGTACATCAGTGCTATACCAGACCCAATTCAAAATCCTAATTTTAGCCTTCAAATTCGTATGTGATTTGCAACCTGCATACTTGAAGGATCATCTCTCAGGCTATGGAGCCAGTGTGCTACCACAGATTCTGCCAGAGCTTTTGTCTATCAGTGAGCTGTTCCCCTGAAGTTATTTGGTCTACTGGTGCCATTGTTTGTTCTTGTTTCAGCAGCAGTGCCAGTGTTATGGAATAATTTGGAGGAAGATAGGATAGCATTGACACTGGCCTTATTCCAGAAGCAATGTAAGGCAGTGTCTTGGCAATGTCTGAGGATGTTGCTGTTTTGGAAGGCAATCTCTTGGCAATATCTGAGGATGTTACTGTTTTGGAAGGGTGCTTGGATTTTTAGACAATTTGGTACCACAGTCTTGTTGGATGTGATTGTTGTATGTTTTAGCTGCATTTTGCCTCACTAGTGTATTTATTTATTTATTTACCTAACTTGTATACAGTCTTTCTGCCCTTACGCATATATAATAAAATTACATTATAAAAACACTAAAATCAACCCCCTCCCAACATACATTATTAAAACAACTTTTAAAAGTTTAAAATACATACAAAACACAAAAACATTGGTCAGGAAAGATAAATCATTGAGAGAATACCAAATGAAACAAAAAATTCTTTACTCACTGGTGGAAGATGACAACAGAAGGGGACATACAAATCTCCCTGGGGAGAGAATTCCAGAGCTTTGGTGCCATGACCAAGAAGGCCCTCTCCTGGACTGCAACTCTCCTCATCCAGAAGGCAGGGACACCCAAAACAGGGCCTTCTAAAATTACCGTAATGGTCAGGTAGGTTTGTAAGGGATTAGGGGGTCCTTCAGGTATGTTGATCCCCAACACTATAGGGCTTGGAAGGTCAAGACTAGCACCCGGAATTGTGCTCAGAAACAAATTGGAAGCCACTGTAGATGGGCCAACCAATGTTCCCTCTAAGCTGTGGAGTCCTGTGAGCAAAAAGTCTACTTTGTGAGCGACTGGCATGAAAGTTGTGAGCGAGTGATTTGGCTGCTGCATAAATTAGTTGGCTCTGGCGCCATCCTTTCTGAGCGAAGACAAAAATGTGTGAGCCGGAGGCTCAAAAACTGTGAGCTAGCTCACACCAACTCAGCTTAGAGGGAACACTGGCCAAGACTAGAGAGATATGGTCCCTAGGACCCACTCCAGTCGATATCCTGGCTGCAGCATTCTGTACCAACTGGAGTTTCTGAACAGTTTTCAATAGCAGCCCCATATAGAGTGCATTGATTAGAGCATAATCTAATCTAGATGTAACCAGAGCATGCACCACAGTGGCCAGATATTTTCAGCCCAGGAAAGGCCACAGCTGGCTATTCAACTGAATCTGGCAAAAGGCACGCTTGGCCATATGTAAACTGCCTTGAACCTCATTGATGGTGGAGAAGTGCAAGGTATAAGTGTTTTAATAAAGAAATAAAGGAGAATTCCAAATGTGGTCTTTCATCAGGGGGATTTCTTCAACAATTAGAAAGCATGTGATAAATAACATTTTGGGGATTAGGTATTAAATAATTACTGCACTTTTTTTGGCCTCACCTTTGCACATTGTCTGTTGAACAGAGTCTCCCCTGTGGACCAGAGACAAAGATGTCTTCCACATGACAATAAATCACCTCTTAGATATTTTAGGGCTTTGGGCTTGTTCCTGATCTCAGCTGGGTTGGCAGGGAACGTCTCCCCTTGGTAGCGTCAAAAGTCTGTGACACTTCCAGCCAAGAAGAAATGGTTTCTTGGCTATTGTGACTGCCCACCTGACACTGTTAAGAGAGGAAATGCATAGAAAGGATATTTTCCATTCTCTTTTTGAAAGTTCTTTGCAAGAAGTACCAATTTAAACTCAAACTCAAAACACTTCAAGCTCGCCATCTAGTGGTTACATTTTGGCTCATGATACCTTCAGATTCCAAATTAATGCTTGAAATACTGACAAGCACATCATATATCATATAAGATTATGTTGTTCTACAGAATTATAATAATCTACCACGCTTCTGCAAAGGATACTAATATTTGATCTGTAAAGAACCAGAGACAGTGCATTTTCTGTGGCTAGCCCACTCCTATGAAACCTTTTGCTACTTTATTGCATAGTAACCTGATTTTTGGACTTTCAGGAAACTGTTTCTTATTGGGCAGGTTTATGCTAGTGGGTCGGCAGCATGTTTATTCTCTAGAACACTGTATTTTTTGTTTGCAGGTCATTATATGAATATTAGCAGATTCCTTTTGTATTGGGTATACATTTAGAAGTGTCTAGTAATTATGAAGCCTGCTGTTATTGTTACCATTATTTAGATTATGGAGGCAGAAATCATTGCTGCATATATTATGTCTAAGGACATTTGTCCTGATCCAGTTGTAATCGTGCCTGGAAAAGGTATTTACGTATTAGTAGTTGTGCCAGAATGTGGCTGGAGGTGCTCATTGAAATGCAGGTTAGAATAAGCAATGCACTATGGATAGAGGACATTCACACTGGAAAGTGAATTCCAAAGCATTGTTACCCAAAATGGCAGTCTCCTTAGTTGGGGGGGTGGGGGGATTAGCAAAGGAGACAGAGCGAGAAGTGGGTAAATGGGATTCTTCACCTATGTATACCAGGGGTTTTCCCTTCAGAGGACTCTCAAACCAGGCAGATGTTCAACCAAAAAGGTTTTTATTAAAAGGAAAATGAAAATTTAATTTAATTGGTTGATTGAAAGCACCGTGGGGTAAGAAAAGGAGCAGGCACCCTCCTTGGCCTGTCTGCACACTGAGGCCATGTGTTCACAGCAAGACAGATGAGGGTTCTTCTAAACTGCCGCGCCTCTGGCAAATTTGCCATAGAGAAAGCAGCACACAACACCTCCCAGGAGGCAAAGAAGGCCCAGCCCGCTGCCAACTTCCCCAACTGGCCCCCACCAGCTTTAGCCATACCTGAGCCTCTGCGTCAGGGGATGGAAAGCCGGCAGTGGAGACTTCTTCTAGTGTTTCTGCCCAGGCCAAAAAAACCGAGCTCAGGTCTGCTCTTGGAGTTGCCGGTATGGCTTCACTGTCAGAGTGAGCTCCTTTCCCAGTGACCTGGCAAGCTGAGGTGCATACGAGCGTGGTTAACGGTCTCTGCATAGTTGCCCTGCCCTGGCGCATCACAGGGTGGCAAACTAGAGCCTGCCTCTGGGGTCCACACCCCAGACCTGCCTTCTTGGCCTGCCCCCCCCCGACCTCTCCCTTGGCCAGATGGGGGGTGTGTTGCAAATTTGGGAGGGGGTGTTGCCCCATGGTCCCCACACTAGCTGTGGCCCTGCCTAAAGGTATCATCATCTGAATTGGATGCATAATTATTTTAGTAGGGCTTTCACCCCTGGATACCAATAACATTTTTAAATGCTGCATGATTTTGCATCATCTTCCTGTCCTTAGGGTTCCATATAACAGCAAAGCCATATTCAGTGAGGAATCTTCAGTGACAAGCAGCCTGCGTCACCTCAGCAACTCAGCTTCAGCAGCAAGGTATGCCATATCTGCCGTCAGCCTGATGAGTTAGCAGGGATACACACATTCTGTCAATGTACCAGCCTGCTGCCGTGTCTTGTTTTCTCCTGCCTTTGCTTCCATAACCTTGGGTTCGGCAGCAACCCTGGAGTCATGAACAAAGACTGTCCAAGTCCTTTCCCATCAGCCACAGAGCCATACTTTTTGGTGGCACGTAGTGAAAGGGAAGTCTGTGTAGGCTGTGATATCATTCCATTTCCACCCTGCATTTTATTTTTTTTAAAGAAAGGAAAGATTGGACATTTATCTTTCTATTCCTCCAGGGCCCCAGGAAGTATAGTCTGTGAATCTGCCTCTTCTTTCCATTGTTAAAGAGACGATCTCAACGCCACTGTTTATAATCAGGCAGAATTTTTCATTGCACAGCAGATCTTGCCAAAAAAGCAAGCCACTACCCATTTTGACAAGTAGCTTTTCTCTGAAGCTGTCAGAGTTTCTGCTGTGAGCATTGTCAGAAGAATTCCAGCTGTGTAGTGAGCACATGTGTAGCACCTTTGGATCGAGGTCTTAACATGCAATGTGTTTAATAATTGTGCTATTCTTGTTTGCAACAACCCCTATGAGAGATGAATTGACCAACACCATTTAATAGACTCCTTTCAAGACCAAGTGGTGTCTGCCTTTGCTCTGTACAAGACTGATGACATTCTTCATGTGATTGCAGCTGCTACTAGGAAATGTCATTTCCCCAGCATTTTCAGTGGCTAGGAAACATTAATTTCCCTCTTAGAATATAGGTAAACTAAATGAAACTGTGTTTAGTTTAAAACAGAGGGAAAATGTATGACCTGAAATTACGCTGAATCCTGCTTTTACAGAAACCTGGCTCTGCATCCTTCCATCCTCAGAGTGAGGTGGATGGCTATCAGACACATGGCCTTTTTAGCAGTGGTGCTCTGATTTTGGAATCCCCTCCTTGGTCCATTCACCTGGCATCTAACTTACAGAGCTTTTGACCCTGGGTGAAAACCTCTCTTTTCCCACAGGCTTTCCAATAGCTGCCTTTGTTCTGGTCTAATGCTTCCTTAATGCTCCGTTAAATACAGTTGTTACACATTTTTATTGCGTTTTTACTGCTTTAATTTTCTGGTTTTAGTTGTTGCTCAGGGGCAACTGATGTGATGAACCGTCGGAAGGAATCTTCCAGTGATGCACTATAGCAACTGCCACTGAACTCCACTGAAGGGATTTGGTGTCTTTACTAGAGAACAATAGGAGGCAGCAATAGAGGCAGCAGGGGTGCCGCCACAGCATCATACAGGCACACAGCCAGTGAGTAGATAGAAGCCAGGAAGCAACATCAATCACACCAGGTACTACTGTCCACTCAGCACTCATGTGTTTGCACACTGCTGCAGGAGCAGCCCACTGCTTCCACCACCTCTGGATGTGGCCCAGTGAAGGCACCAAAACCCTTCTCCCTTCAGTGGCTCTCAGTAGCAGTATCTGTAACCCCACCACCACCACACAAACTGCCCCTGTTGTTGCTGCTAGTGCATATTAAGAGCTTGTTAGGCTGCCATTCATTCTTTATTGCTAGGTTCAAAGCTGAATTGATATGGTTGTACTGTTTATTCTTTAAGTGTGTGCTTACAGTTTATGGAATATAAACCCCAAAGCAACTGTTGTTAGCTTTGTAGTGTTTTTAAAAATTGTAGGCCGCCTTTAAGCATCAGCAAAAAGCACACTACCTATACTTTAATAAATTAACATATGATACCCCATCTTGAGCACACATCTTAATGTGGTGAGAGAGTTTGTGTGTGTCAGGAAAGCTGAAAGCGATACTGTAAGGAGCTTAGACTGTCAAGAGGCTAAACACCTAGCAGAGTCACTCAAGGTGGAACGGTCACAGCGGAGACGCCACACTAAGATGCACCCACCCCCTTCAGAAGCCAAGGGCCACATCAGTAGAAGGGAACGGACAGTCCCAATGGTGATGGGGGTGGAGGAATCCTTGAAGGGATGTTTTTATGTTACTGAGCAGCAGCAGTAGTGGAAGGTGACACTGGCAGAGGAGCTATCATAGACAAAGGCAGTGCTACTTCAGCTAAACCTGGTTAGTGCTGCGCAGAAGAAGGCAGTGGTAAACCACTTCTGATCATCTCACACCTTGAAAACCCTATGATGTGACCATCCAAAATCAAAAAAGATATAGTGCTGGAAGACAGGACCCTCAGGTCAGATATGACTCAATCAGCTTCTGAGGAAGAGCAGAGGATGAGTACTAGTAGCACTACTCTTAACGATGCAACTGGATTAAAGCCGAAAAGACATTCAGTTGTTGATGTGAATGGATGCAAAAGGAAAGTCCAAAGCTGTTCAACACATTTAATAGTAACATGGAATGTGAGAAGTATGAATCAAAGTAAGCTCAAAATGATTAAAGTAACAAATGGAATGTTTAAACACTGCAGATCTGGGTGTGAGTGAACTAAAATGGACCGGATTAAGACATTTTCAGAGAATAATGAAGAGTTTTACTGGGGAAATGACAAACACAGAAGAAATGGAGTTGCTTTAATAGTGAGGCAAGTTGTAGCACAGGCAAATGAAGTTGATGTGAAAATTGGTGGAAGGAACATTAACAATTTGAGAAATGCAGATGACACCACATTGGCTGGCAGAAAATGGTGAAGACTTGAAACAACTAGTGATTACAGGATTACAGCCGAATATCAAGAAGACAAAAGTAATGACTACTGGGGAATTACACAGCTTTACGGTTGACAATGAATAAATTGAAACTGTTCAAGACTTTCTATTTCTTGTCTCCCTCATCAACCAAAAGGGAAACTGTGACCAAGAAATCAGGAGGAGACTGAAACTGGGAGGTCAGCCATGAAGGAGCGAGAAAAGATCCTTAATTGTAATGATGTGTCACTGGCAACCAAGATCCAAATTAATTCATACTCTAGTATTCCCCATTGCTATAGATGGAAGTTGAACAATGAAGAAAGGTGACAGGAAGAAAGTTCATTAATTTGAAATATGGTGGTAGAATAGGGTTTTACAGATAGCAAGGACCACCAAAAAGATAAATAAGTGGGTTCTAGATCAAATCAAACCTGAACTTTCAACAGTGAAATGACCAAACTGAGGTTATCATACTTTGCTCCCATTCTGAGAAGACATGAGTCACTGGAAATGACAATAATGCTTGGAAAAGTTGAAGGCAGCAGGAAAAGAGGAAGATCCAACATGAGATGGATTGACTCTATAATGGAATCCATAGCCCTCTGTTTGCAAGACCTGATCAAGACTGTTAGCAATGGGAGGTCTTTAATTCATAACATCACCATAAATTGGAAGCAACTTGGTGGTACCTCACTCACACACACACACACAACACATAAATAAAACCCAGGTACTAGTACTGAGCCCCAAATAAACAGAGGTCACATAGTCCTGTGTCTGGAAATGAGATTACTGAACATGCAGCATTTAAACAGGAGAAATGATGAAGTTAAAGTAATAAACCGATTCAGCTAAAAGCTTAAATGTATTATTATTGCAGAATTTCCCCAGGTTCAAGTTCATCCATCCCTCTCACAGGAGACCACCAAACTGATGCTGATATTCTAGCTTTCATTAGAGCGAGGCGGAATCTCCAGCAAAAGAAAGGTAAACTTTGTTAAGTGCACTAGTTGATGAAGTTGTCTGTCTTATGCAGTCCTGTAGATGTAAGTGTATCTAGTAGTCTCATTCATTTATAGCATTTGTGGTATGTTCTGTGATTTGCTACTTGCAGCTGTTTTATGCTTTCATGCAGTTTGAAATTAGCTGTGCTGCTGCTCTTTCTCTAGTGCACTTGATTATGGCTTTTATTGGTCCCCTAGACACAGACACCAAATTTAAATTACACAAAGGCTTTACTAATTATTTGAAAGGAAGAGTAATAGGTAAACTACCCTATTAGTGTGGGCATCCTGTTAGTGTGGGTAATCCCACCCTGACTCCAAGGCTAGAGTGCTACATAGTTCTTCATCACTTGCCCCTGCCTGCACATCAGGACTGTACAGGGAAATGCTATCAATCAAGGCCTGTGTCTGTTAACATGAAGGTTCAGGCATTAACCAGCAGCACCCAGAACGTTCCCTCTCCAGGCATTTGAATTTGGACAGCCTGAAATGTCCAACTTGGTTATGTCTCCCTCTCTTAAGATACTTCAAAGTGCTTTCCAATCTGATTCACATAACAGTGTACCAGCATGAAACCTGTCACTTTAGTTAGGGCCTTCCCAGTCTTCTCTGACCAGGCATAGACTCCTCCGCATCATGAAGCAGGCTAAAAGAGCCAATCAGAGACAGATCCAGGCCAATCAGAGACAGATCCAAAAAGTTCCTGTGATCCAGAAGTCACCAGCTAATCTCATATTGTACTTAAAGGGGGGGAGGGCAGATTTTCCAGCAGAAAAAGGAGGAAGGTGAAAGAATGCTGGCTTTAAGTAGCCAGCCCCAAATGTCCCCCTGCTTGCCTGGGCAGCATCATAGTATGTCATCCACCAAGTAGTCTGGTGCTTTCCCTTTTCAAAGGGCAGGGCACCAATAAATGGTTGTTAGTGAACATAGATACTGATTGTCCTGTTAACCAGTTTGACTGTTAAGTGGATTAGCAGAAAAGCAGCACATCCATTTGGTAAAATAAAACAAAATATGTAAAGTGTCCAGTTTTAGACAAAGGCAAGGGAAAGGAGACTGAGACATGCCCAGAACTGTTCCTCCTTTGGCCCCTGTATGAAGGAGGAGGGATGGAGGGAGGGCACTGGCTATTTAACCTATCAGCATAGAGCTAGGGAAATGCCAGAGCAACATATACAAGCCTTTCTTCTTGTTTCTCCTGTATCATCTGTAGTGCAGCAGACTGCAGAATAGGGGCGAAGTGGTTACTTCCCCAACCCCATTCAGTCCCACCAGTTCCAAGTGGCAGCAGCAAGAGGAAGGAGGGAACACCTCTTGAAGCCAGGCAGGCTTGGAAGCGACAACAGATGCAAGCCACACCTGGTGCTGCCTCCCTGTAGTACTCTTGCCAGTTTAGCGTCCGAAGCAATGGGGAGGAAGAAGAAAACTCTTCACTGTGCCTTACGTTTCCACACCTCCCCATGTTGTATTTGGCATTATTAATGTGCACTGGAAGCCATGTATGTAAATGTCTGCAAAAGCAGGTCCCATTCACTTGATTCATCCCTTGTGATAAAAGAAGGCTCAGATTCTGTGAACATGTCTAACTTGTAGATGAACTTATTGGCATAGGTCGTGGTTCCTGTTAATAGTTCTGTATGTAGTGGAGCTGCGGTGGCTCAAGTGGTAAAGACGCTGAACGGCAGGCTGGAAGGTCGGTAGTTCAGCAGTTCGAGACCCGAGTGCCATATGACGGAGTGAGCTCCCGTCTCTGGCCCCAGCTCCTGCCAACCTAGCAGTTCGAAAGCAAGAAATTGCAAGTAGATAGGTACCTCTTCGGTGGGAAGGTAACAGCGTTCCGTGCACCTTGGCATTTAGTCATGCCAGCCACATGACCACGGAATTGTCTTTGGACAGCACTGGCTCTTCAGCTTGGAAACGGAGATGAGCACCACAACCCTAGAGTCAGATTCGACTAGCTGTCGAGCAAAGGAAACCTTTACCTTTACCTATGCAGTGGAGAAGGATGCCCAGGCTCACTCCCACCCTTGATCAAATTCATATGCTCGATGCCCAGACTATATGAGAACTAGCCTCTAGGTGATGAATGTTTAACATTTCATTCTCTTCCAAAGGTAACTAAAATTGTCAAGCACTAGAAGATGTTCGTTATTAAATAGACAACAGTGGCACCTAAAGGTAACAAGGAAGTTATTAATCCTAGGAAAAAGAAAGATTCGTTCTGTGTAAAAGTGATTCTTTAGTGAGAGGAACAAATTATACTGAGCAGATGAAAACAGCTCTGATTAGTGAAGCAATAACTTTCCATCACCACTCCAGTGCTGATGACAGCATTACTCAGCAAGCTATCAGCACCTGCCAGATGGTGTTAGCATTATCCCACAGCGGAGATTTAGTCTATCTCTGTGGTTATCAGCAATAATTGTCAGGTGTAAACACAAGGGCTGCAAAAGCCAGCCACCTTCCTCCATCTAGAACAAATATTCTGCTCGCATAGGCTTTGTGTTTTCATATGTCTCAATTTAGTAAACTTGTTGTCAAGCTCCTTTTTGAACATATAATGATGTTGAATTTGTATGGTATTTCCCTATCAAGCCACTATAGAATAAAGCCAGCAAATTTTAAAGAGACTCTTTTTTAAAAATTCCTAGTTCATAGTTATAAAAGGGTACATCTTAATGATAAGAGACTACCTTTCCGTGACTCACCAAATGACAGCACAGCCCAGAAAATCTGGTAGAGAGACTAGAGTTAATTCAAAGGAAGTGGCAAAGGCAACTCTTGCCGTTAGAAAATCAAGCCTTAATAAGCCTGACTGGGCTGTTTCTAGATAACCTGTATATATTCAATAACAACATATGATGGTAAATCTCTGCAGACAGTGGCTGGGCTGAGATGTTTAATCTGTAAAAACCTTTTCTGACATTGAACCATCAAACCCATTCAGTGTTTTGAACAGGCCGTTTTGACCTTTGTGCTCTATGCTTAGATAGCTCACCCAATATATAATAGAATCAGAGTGATCCTATGGACTGCTTTAACACATTTCCTGTGAATATAGCACTTCCGCAAAGGGAAAAAGTATGAAAACCGGGCGTGGTTTGTTCATGGGGTATTGGGGACCCTGCCTCCTGTTTTTTATGCCAGGGACTGTCCTCCTATCACACAAGTGTCAGTCTCTCCATGGGTGTGAGCATCAGAGGATTAAGAAAGCCTGCTCTCCAATCCAGGGCGCATGCAGCCACAACATGGAAGAGGCAGTAATATGCATGCTTCTTTAGGTACAGTAACTCTCTCCTACTTAACCTTTTAAGATAGTAGATGGATTAAAGTTTAATGCCACCTCTGTTGGGGTTGCAACAGATAGATTGCCAGGGAGCTAACTTTAAACTGAAGCTACCAAGGGCTATGCTTCTATCGTGGAGTTGCAGTTTACCTCTTGCCATTGTATGAGATGTAAATGCATGTTGTATGTATGTATGTGCTGCTCAGGGCTATAGACAGTAATTGTTCTGTAGTGTTCCATGGAACAATACCTCCACATAAAAAGTTGTCCACAATCCGTAATGTTAGCAAAATCAATCCATAACCCCTACAAATGTGGTTTTCTTCACAGAAAGTTCTAAAAGAAAAAATAATGGTTCTGTCCAAACATTATCTGTGCAATTAAGCTAAACGAGGAAATTACGGTTTCCACAATTATTCATCTTTTGATATTAACACTTTTAAAATGACCATTTGATATCAGTAGCCCAGATATGCTATGTTGCATTAGCTAAGAAAAGAGAATAAAATGTATGTAGAACCCAGTGGAGTGGAACATTAGTTGCATAAATAGAAAAGACATTAGCATGGGAATGCGCAGCAAATTGAAAGTAATGTAGTGGAAAATACCCACTGTAAGGGGTCCAAACTGCAGATTATCTAGCTCATCATCATTTGAAGCTCTGAGCTATGCAAACAAAGATTAATTAAAACTGGCAGTATAGTACTACATAATCACATGGCCACTATGCGTCAATCAAATTCTCTTGGTTTAATTTGCTACAATTGTTAGCCTTGAGGTTATTATAGTATGTTGACACATTTCACTTTATAGGTAAAAAGGGCAGTTTTTTGAGTATGTACATTCATATATTCCCTTTGCTATGTGAGTTAATTATTACTATGGAATTCTCTTTTTGTTCAAATATCAGTGGCTGCCAGCAGGTAAACCTGGGTGTGGATGGCATAGCAAGACTGAAGAATGGGCAAGTTCCTCTTTTTTAGCATCACCATGGATTTATGTCTTCAGCTCATGGCAAACTGCAGTGCAGTGGGTCAGAAAAAGCCTGCTAGAGATGGTGTTTTTGTTTGGGTCTTTTTAGATCTTTTGTCTGGTTTGTTGCTCATTGAGCAAGGTCTGTTTTCCTGGGGCTGATTGCTGGCCCCATCCTTTGCCAGCAGGGGAGTGGGGGCTATGTAGTGTTTTGAAGAGACTGGCACATGTACAATTATCTACCCACTGGGTAGAAATCATGGGTGTGTGCTTGCTGCATGGAGCTCGTGGCTTTCAGGGAGCAGGTTCAGTCCTTTGAGGCTAGGGTTACTGACTTGGAGAAGCTGAGGGAGAGAGAGAGGTTTAGGGAAGAGACCCTCAGGGAGTTACCAGAACAGTCCCACTTCTCTGCTGACAGCTCTTCTGCTGTTGTGGTGAGTGAGAGTCTTGAGCTCAGAAGGCATCAGTCTGAGGTGGAGGGGTATGATCCTTTAGAAGGGACCAGTATCTTCTCACACCAAGGATACCCCTGGGGGGCTGGGAGGAGGTGGGCTTCTGGTAGTGCATAATTCAATCATTATGAATATAGAGAGTGGGGTACATGACATGCCTTTTGTCTGCATGGTGACTTGGTCTGCCTGGTACAAAGGTTGCAGACATCCTGCGCTGTCTAGATAGGTTGATGGTGCTGTGGAGGAGTCAGTAGTCATGGTGCACGTTGGCACCAATGACATTGGGAAATGTAGTTGTGTGGCCCTGGAGGAAAAATTAAGGTTACTAGGCAGACAGTTAAAGGCCAGGACCTCAAAGGACAAGCCGAACCTGCAGAAAAGAGATGGACTTCACTTGAACCAAAAGGGAACCAGAATACTGGTGATTAATATCAAAAAGGTGGCAGAGCAGCTTTTAAACTAATTCCAGGAGGAAAGCCGACAGAAGTTGGGGAGCTGTCCAGGACCAAAGGCATCACTACCCTTGCGCTTGCCCACTCCAGCAGGTCCTGCAAGGCCAGCTACATTGGTGTCAGGCAGTATCCGATGGGCTTTGTCAAAGCTGAATGGTCCTCTGTGGCTGCTGCCGGTGCCGGACAACCTTCTCCCACCACTGGTTCTCAGAAGGCTGGCATGCTGCCAAAGCCGGGCAGCTCTCTGTGGTTGCTGCCACCTCTGGGTGGCCTTCTCCCACTACCACATTGCAGCTAGCTGGTCCTGGACCCAGTGAGGGAGCAGGTGGCAATGGGGCTGGGCAGAAAGCTGGGATGAGGCTGATGGGAGGGCAGGCCAGGAGAATGAGGCATGAAAGACACCCCCACCCGGCATCTGCAGACAGGCCCCTCAAGCCATGGATGATCCAGTAGTGGGCAGTGATGGGGGACGAAGAGAAAAGGAGAGAGAATAATGGCATGGGGGAGGGGAGAGAGAAACAGGGAAAAAAGACTGACGCGGTGGAGGGGGGAGAGAGAGAGAGAAATACCGTAGTTGTGTGTGGAGGAAGAAAGGAAAAGCAGAAAGAATGAGTGGGAAGGGACAGAGAAAGAGACTGAGAGAAGGTATGGTGGTAGAGCAGAATAAGTGTGGGAATGGGACAAGTTAGTACAATCTTATATGTTGTAAGTGATGCATTTTACGTTGGTAAAGCAGTAAAATTAGCTTTTATAAGAAACTAAGTATTGTATATATGTCCGTTTCCTCCCCAAATTGGGTGTCTGTGGAAAAAACAGGAAAGGGGTGATTTCCCCCCTTGTTTTCAGAATGTATGTGTGCATTTTGAAATTATGCATCTTGGAAGAAATGGCTATCTAGTCCACCAATCAGTGCAAAATGGAAGTGGTCTGTTGCAGCACACAGTTACTTAAAACTGAGTTTTGGATAAATTTTGAACAACTTCTGTGTATCCAGGTATTAAATGTTCCATCACATTCAGCATACAATGTCTTACTGACAGGAAACATGGAAACCATAGAAAGTAGCACTGAAGCATCCCATCGCTCCAGGATAGAACACAAGGTTCACACAGTCTAAGGGCATATAAAAATAATGCACATCAGGTTTGGGCTTTGTAAGGTGGCCTTAAAATTCCTTGATCAAAGTATTTCTCTCTAAAATATATATTTTTGCCTAGACACTGACAAACTGGTAGTTATATATTTTTCCTAATAACCTTGCCGTTCTCTATTTCAGGACTGAGGAACAAATGAATTTTCAATTATGAAACTATCTGCCATCTCAAAATTGTGAAACTGAAGAGAACAGCTGTAGGACCAGAACCAGTGGATCTTTAAGCTGCAGCTAAATTTACGACAAATAGCATTCCCCCCCCCCAAGAAATGGTGTCCAACACGTCTTCACTGTTTTCATTGCTGCAAAGTACAAGCAACACCAAACAGGAACCCCTAGTGTGGGTTTATTAGGAATCTGATGGCCGTGTTATGTGGCTTATAAATGTCAGGATTATTTAACAGATTTTAAAAATGCTTTTTTGTTCCTAGCACAAGCAAAATAATTCTTTGCCAGGAGATTTTCTGTCCCTTGATTCTGAAGGAATGCTTGCCTAATCCTCAACAGTTTGGATATGCACATTTTGTTGGGTCCTTTGTTCAGCTTTGGTTTGCATGAGCTCAAAAGCACTGTGCAAAATCAGAAAATATTTTGTCCCATGTAACTTCATTTAGAGAGCTGTTAATTAATGCCAGCAAACTTTTTTCCATTTTTTAAAGCCATCATTCATGTCTTTGGAGATCAAGAGTTACACTACAAAACCTGAACTTCATCATAAACTGAAATTTCATCACTCATTATTTACGAAAGAATGAGGGTGTCAGTCAAAGTACAATCCATGAAGTGCTAGCTGGTGAATTGGCACTGGGACATATCCTTGATTGTAACTACTGGATTATTTTTCCAAATCTTTTATTTCTTTTTCTGTGTCAAAAATTTTTGTGGTTGTTACTAGGATCTTTGGATCTTGCATCTGTATGGACCTGCTTTCCTTCTGTTCATGGACAAGTTCGGACACTTCTGTGCTGATTTTCTTATATAAGAAAATATTTTTATTACCTATAATTATTAAATGTAGAACCATCAAACTAATTTCACTTGCCACACATTGGAAATTAATCAGAGCGTAAAAAAAATTAAAGCTGTTGCTGATTTTCTCCTCATTTTAAAATCTGCAGTCTGAAGTGACTGGAGAAAAGCTTTACCTCTGAAAGACTTTACTACAGTGAGCTTCCTAAATGTGTTTACTTGTAGGACTGACTAAAAGGAAAATAAACACCTTTTCAGTTGGACAGCGAGAAAAGGGGAATAGTCATATCTGTTTAGATACTTTATTTCAGGGGCATTATGCAAGTGTCCTGAGACCAATTTTTGGGTTGGACCCATGGGTGACTTTCTACTGGCAGAAGGGCATTTCCAGCAGTCGAAGGAGGGATTGGTGACATTTGCCAGTTCTCTCCTACAGTATTCCTCCACATCATGCTCAGCGCTGACTCTGTGAGCCCCTGAGCCTAACAGACAGTGTTTCAGGACTGCACTTGGAAGGGAGCGGCGGGAAAGTTCCTTCTTCAAGTAGAGCTCCAACTGAAGCACTTTGGATCCAAACCCACCCACCTCTTTTTAAAAAGAAAAGCAATTTACCTCTTAATGGGATTCAAAATACACATTTGCCTTTGTTTTGAGCCAAGGGGAGGCAGGGGGAGAGCAGCTGGAGAGGCAGTCTGAAGAAGAGAACCTGCAGGCGACTTACATTAATTGGATATTATTATAATGAAAGTGTGCCGTTCTTGAGTTCATAGTCACTGTAGGCCTCCATGCTGATCACGTTCCCATACTTAAGGAGGAGAACTGCTAGCTCTAAGGTACAGGACACTCTGATCAGTTTGTACAAGGAGATTGCCTTAAATATGAACAAAGCCTTATTGCATATTCATTGGTACAGCTTGGCAAGAAAGGGGTGTATCTGACATTCATGCTAATAAGAAATGTGTTCTCCATTTTTCAGTGAATACCCACTCAGGTTTTTTCAGCCATTCCTGTGGGATAAATGGCTACCAGTCCTATGCATATTCACTCAGAAGTCCCTTTGATTTCGTTAGGGCTTACTCTTAAGTAGTGGCGTGTAAGATTGCGGCCTTAGTGGCCTGTACAGAAATAATCAATTATTTGTACAATCCTTGGAAAATGCCCCAAAGCTTGCAAAGCAGAAGGCACACCCTGAACAAAAGTTTATATTTGTATTTCGGTCTGTTCAATCACCAGTGGAAAAGTTGTCCTAAGTAAATAGTCCCTCATACATGCTGAGTGCCAGCCAACAGTTACGATATCAAACAAATGGCTGTGTACAGTTGTCAATATGGTAAATATTGCTTATCGTTTCAAGCCAGGGCAAATCACTCTGACTCCAAATGCCTTGTTTGCAGAGAAGCCCTGGGCAAGAAGATGTGGCGTGCAAGATGACAACCAGTTACCAGAAATCTCAATAACTCCCACTTTAACATGTATGCAACAGTGATTACTCAGAGGAACTGTTTGTAAAAATCCTAAGGGTTAAGAACATGGCCAGTTCCAGGTTTTGAGGGATCCTGGACAAACAGGCCCCAGAGGCTCCAGTCTGCCCACCATCGGGGCCCCCCTCATACCTTTCTACCCCCCATCTTCTCCCCACTCGAAACCTTCCCACTGCACATGCTCAGTTGCCTGCTCCACCTACTCACCCTTTCCTCGACTGCACTGGCAGGTGCGTGCAGCTGAGAGTATTGCTGCCATGAAGACCAGCAGCATTGTCTCTGTGCATCACATGCCTTCCCCTACTAATGCTGCACAGCTGGAAACATGGCTGGTAGAGCATGTCAAACAAACAGATGGAAAAGGGCATGCGGACAGGTGGCAGGAGAGGTGTGTGGGTAGGGGTCAGCAGCAGTGGACACAACCATGAGCCCTGGGCCCTGACAGCTGCCTCGCCTTAGGGTATGCTGGTGGCAGCACTGCTTAAGAACCATTTACTACTGCAATACAAATGGCAAAAGGGATGAAGGGAGGTGAAAAGAACACATAAACCTGCGTTATACTGAATCAGATCCTTGGTCCATCAAAGTCAGTATTGTCTACTCTGACTGGCAGCAACTCTCAGAGATCACAGGCAGGGAGCAGGTGGCAGGAGAGGTGTGTGGGAAGGGGTCAGCAGCAGTGGACCCAACCATCAGCAAGCTGCCAAAGAACTCTGTGTGGAGATGCTGTACCACTGAACCACAGCCCCTCCCACTTAAGTACCCTCACCCCCAGCTACTTCACTGTGGTTTGTTGTTTGAATGATTTTTCTTCCAGCCTGGCTCCAAGTAAACCAGGTGGCAAGAAATATGCATGAGGTAACAGGGGATGAGATTGGTTTTGGATTTGGTTCCCCTCATTCATAGGGTCACCATGAGCTGAAAGTGATTTGATGGTACTTAACACACGTACACACATATCCACATGTTCCCCAAATCTATTTACTCTTGCTTTTTGGTAAAAACAAAGCTAAACATAGATTCTTTTCACACCTCCTGCTTTGCATCTGAACAAATACACAAGGACATCCCTGCACACCTAGTTTGGTCTTTATGTTTTTTAGCAGAAGATGAGGGAAACAGGTTTTAGCCCCCGCTTCCATAAACACACCCTTTCACTTCCCTGTCAAAAAGCTGGTTGGTATGATTTTAGCTTTAAAAACAGGTTCTGCATGCACAACCCTGACATCTTCACAAGTAGTAAGAACATAAGAAGAGCCATGCTGGATCCGACCAAAGGCCCATCAATGCCAGCATTCAGTTCAAACAGTGACCAAACCTCAAGTAAACCCTCAAACAGCAAGACTGCAACAGCATCATCCTGTCTGTGCCATCTGGTTTCCTGCTCTTAATATATTTAAATAATTCTTTATTGTTGGTCTTCATGCTTTTAGTGATACATTCCTCAAAATCCTTTTTTCATCCTTAGTTGTCTGCTTGCATTCCTTTTGCGCAAACTTGTGTTGGGTTTTTGTTTGCCTCATTTGGGCAAGCCTTCCAGTTTCTGAAGGGAGCCTTTTTCACTCTTAATAGCTTCCCTCACCCTGCTTGTTAGCCATGCTGGTGTCCTCTTAGACTTTGTACTGTCTTTCTGACCTGTGGAATGCATTCTAACTGAGCTTCTAGTACTCCACTGGATTGGCCCAGATGTGTTTAAATCACATGCTATGCATGAGAAGCTTCCCCCAGCCACCAGTTGGGGGATTCCATCCTCAGTGCTCTTGGAACTGATTATTAATGCCTGTAGATGCACACGCACATTATTTGAGCACTCTCAGGAGCTCACATCTTCGCAAGTAGTAAGAACATAAGAAGAGCCATGCTGGATCCGACCAAAGGCCCATCAATGCCAGCATTCAAACACTGACCAAACCTCAAGTAAACCCTCAAACATTGCAAGACTGTAACAGCATCATCCCGTCTGTGCCATCTGGTTTCCTGCTCTTAATGTATTTAAAGAATTCTTTATTGTTAGTCTCCATGCTTTTAGTGATACATTCCTCAAAATCCTTTTTTTCATCCTTAGTTGTCTGCTTGCATTTCTTTTGCGCAAACCTGTGTTGGTTTTTGTTTTGCCTCATTTGGGCAAGCCTTCCAGTTTCTGAAGGGAGCCTTTTTTCACTCTTAATAGCTTCCCTCACCCTTCTTGTTAGCCATGCTGGTGTCCTCTTAGACTTTGTACTATCTTTCTGACCTGTGGAATGCATTCTAACTGAGCTGCTAGTACTCCACTGGATTGGCCCAGATGTGTTCAAATCACAGTGTCAAAACCAATTTTCAGTGCTGTAGGTATAATTAATTAATTCATAGGCTCACCATAACTTGGGAGTGACCTGATGGTGCTCAACACACGTGTAATTGGTGAAGATACATTCATCCCATACAAGCAAGCTGAGTGTACTACCACATATACACTCAATAGAAAGCGGCTGTTTTCACACATTTATCACATTCATCGTTTACATTTTTAAATATATGCTTATTTTTCTTATTTAGGTATCAGCACCCTGTTTTTCTACCCTCTGGGGCCCAAAGTGGCTGAAGTAATTCTTTCCTCCTCCATTTTATCTTCACAACAACAACCTTGTGAAGTATGTTAGGCTGAGAGTGAGGATTTGAACTTGAGTTGCCTGGAACCTAGTCCAGCACTCACTACTACCCATGTTGGCTCTCATC